CAAGAGATCGAGACCATCCTGGCCAACATGGTGAAACCCTGTCTCTACTAAAAAATACAAAAATTAGCTGGATGTGATGGTGCCTGGCTGTAATCCCAGCTACCCAGGAGGCTGAGGCAGGAGAATAGTTTGAACCCGGGATGCAAAGGTTGTAGTAAGCTGAGATCACGCCACTGCACTCGAGCCTGACAACAGAGTAAGACTCTGGCTTAAAAAAAAAAAAAAACAACAAAAAACAAATAAACCCAAGCTTACCTAAATGGGTAATGTTGCTAAAAACAGCCACCTTAGTAAGCATCCAGGTGGTGGGGATATGGGTGTTCAACCTCTTTCAACTGTCAGTCACTTTCAACTTTGCTGTTTGTTTAAAATTTTCCTAATAAATGCTGGGGGAAAATATTACTTCAAGAGGTCTGCAGCCCTTGTTGCAACAATCCAGAGGTTTCTCGGAGAGCTCACTGTGTGGAATGGTTGAAGTTGCAGGCTTTGGAGCGAGACTGCCTAGGTTCTTACGCAGCCTCTGCTGTTTCCTGATTGTGTGTACTTCAGGCAGTTACTGCACTTTTCTGAACCTTGTCCTTGTCTGTAAAATGGGAGTGACTACAGTGCCTCTTCTTGGGTTTATGAGTGAAATGAGGAAATGTGTATAAAAGCACTTCCAGCAATATGAAACACTCGGTAAACACTGGCTGTGGGTGCTACTGCCGCTACTACTGCTTTTTGGTAATTGCCCGTAGTCAATGATCCATCTATCCAGAGCATAGTTAGCAGTGCTACCCTCCTTGGTCATTTATTTGAATGATAATTTAGGGCTAATTTGAGACTTAATTTTTTTTTGTTTTTGTAAGAAACAGGGTTTCGCTGTGTCATCCAGGCTGGAGTGTAGTGGCACCATCCTTGCTTACTGTAACTCTAAACTTTTGGGCCCAGGTGATCCTCCCACCTCAGCCTTCTGAGTAGCTGAGACTACAGGCGCACACCATTGTGGCCGACTTATTTAAAAAAATTTTTTTTGTAGAGATGGGGTCTTCCTATCTTTCCCGGGCTAATCTCAAGCTCCTGGCCTCAAATGATCCTCCTACTTTGGCTTCCCAAAATGCTGGGATTACAGACGTGAGCCACTATACCTGGCCGAGACAATTTTGAATGACACTGGGACCATTGACAAAAATCAAATTCATCCTCATGTTGTCTGCTTCTCAGCCTTAGTAAGTAAAATACCAGGAACACTATTTGCCTTTTTCTCGGTGAAACCCAGTCCCCATTACAAATAGCCGTTCTGGCCCTGTGCCTGTGTTATGTCGCTAGGGCTCTGCAATTAGCTGCTCCTGAGTTCTGCTGCCTGGCCTTCTGGTGTGTTCATGCTTTTTCCTTTGTGTTGGTGCTGCTTCCAGATGGGAGGTCTGCATCTCTCCTCTCTCTCCTGACAAACCTGATGTTCACAGCCACTGCTGTTCAGCTTCTCTAGGGCTGCGGTAAATAATACCAAGGTGAGTCAGGAAGTAGCACAGAATGGTGTCACCAACATTGATACCTTAGAAATGTAAATGCTGCCGGGCGCGGTGGCTCAAGCCTGTAATCCCAGCACTTTGGGAGGCCGAGGCGGGTGGATCACGAGGTCAAGAGATCGAGACCATCCTGGTCAACATGGTGAAACCCCGTCTCTACTAAAAATACAAAAAATTAGCTGGGCATGGTGGCGCGTGCCTGTAATCCCAGCTACTCAGGAGGCTGAGGCAGGAGAATTGCCTGAACCCAGGAGGCGGAGGTTGCGGTGAGCCGAGATCGCGCCATTGCACTCCAGCCTGGGTCACAAGAGCGAAACTCCGACTCAAAAAAAAAAAAAAAAGAAATGTAAATGCTGACCTTCTATAGAACTGAGTGCTATAATTTGCTGTCCTCTACCTTTCTTGGGTGTGATGTCCTTTCTGAGGTTTTTATCATATTCAGAGTAGTGCAGCCATCCCCACTATCTAATTTCAGAACATTTTCATTGTCTGGAGACTCATTAGCTGTCACTCCCCCTTCTCCCCTACCCTCAGTCCCTGGCAGCCACTAATCTATCTGTCTCTATGGATTAGCCTCTTCTGGACATTTCATATAATTGGAATCATACAGTATGTGACATTTTGCATCTGACTTCTTTCACTGAACATTAGGATCACCCATGTTGCAGCATGTGTCAGAACTTCATTCCTTTCTATGGCTTAATAATCCATTGTGTGGATATATCATATTTAATTTACCCATTCATCAGCTGATAGACATTTGGGTTGTTTCCACCTTTTGGCTATTAATTGAATAATGTTGCTGTGAACATTTGTGTACACATTTTGGGGGGGACATGTTTTCATTTACCCTGAGTATATACCTGTGAATTAAATTGCTGGATTTTATGGCAACTCTGTTTAACATTTTGAGGAACTGCCAAACAGTTTTCCAAAGTAGTTACACCATTTTACATTTTTATCAGTAATATGTGAGGGCTCTAGTTTCTCTGTATCCTCACCTACACTTGTTATCTGTCATTATAATTATAGCCATCTTGGTGGATGTGAAGTATTATCTCATTGTGGTTTTGGTTTGTGTTTTCCTAATGACTGATGATGTTAAGCACTTTTTTATGTGCTTACTGGCCATTTGTATATCTTCTTTGGAGAAATGTCTGTTCAAATCCTTAACTCATTTAAAAATTATCTTTCTATGGTTGAGTTGTAAGAGATCTTTTTATAATCTGGGTATACTTTACCAGATATATGATTTGCAAATCTTTTTTTTTCTTTTTGTGGATTGCCTGTCTTTTCACTTTCTTGATGATGACCTTTGAAGAACACAGGTTTTTAGTTTTGATGACGTCCAACTTATCTGTTTTTTCTTTTGTCATTTGTGCTTTCAGATACTCTACCTGATGTCTTCCATAACCTGTCTGAAAATCTGATTTTCTTACTGGGTCCGTAACTGTAGTATTCTTAGTTTCTCTGATTTGGGATTATAAAGCACTTGATTTAAAATGTTTGCCAATGATATATGAAGGAGCTTAGAAATGTTGATGCTCTTTGATGGTAAGCCCATTCCTGTGCACTTAACCTCAGGAAATAATCTGACAGAAGAAAAACATCCTGTATGCCCAGAGATGTTCATTTCACTGTCACCCTTGAGATTGACATGCTGTTCAACAGCAGGGGTGGATGAGTCAAATCTATTGTGGAACATTTTTAGGCAGCTATCAAATGTTATAATTATAAAGCTTGTGTAACAGAAATGTTTATAATGCAGTGTTTGGTGAAAAAAGCACAAGTGTATGCTTATTATGATAAAAATATGTTTAAAGTATCTGGACTAAATGAGAAGGTATACAAAGTTATAGATTTATTTTCTTAAATTTTATTTATATTTTATCTTTATAGTTAAAAATTAAGTAAAAAAGTAAAAAATGTGTGCATAATATTTCAAATTGGTGGGGGAAAGTGTGATAAGTGGTTAGATTGGATTTATGTTTATCCTTACCTTCAAATTTTTTTAAATTATTTTTATCATAATTATCAAAGTTAGGTTTGTAAATTTAAAAAAACTAGTTAGCTGTGTTTACTGAGAATTTGAGTAGAGATATTTTAATTTTCTTTATATTTTTATATCAAATCCAAATACTCCTAACTTGATTTTATTATTAGAATTTGTTTTAGTCATTAGAGCATTATAATTTGCTAAGAAGAAAAGCAGTTATGATGATTATTATATATTAGTAATAGGGACCACAGAAGCCCTTTTTTCATGGCATCTTGTGAAACAATTATTGCAATTACTTTATACGTAAGTAAATGAATTAACCCAGCTTTTGAAATAAGTTTCAAAGACGGCTTGGCGTAGTGCCTTATGCCTGTAATCCCAGCACTTTGGAAGGCCAAGGTGGGAGGATTGTTTGAGCCCAGGGGTTCGAGATTGGCCAGGACAACGTAGTGAGAGACCCTCACTACTACTATTTTTTGTCTCTACAAAAGATAACTAACCAGGTGTGGTGGCACATGCCTGTAATTCCAGCTACTCTGAGGCAGGAGGATCACTTGAGCCCAGGAGGTCAAGAGTACAGTGAGCCATAATCACACTACTGCACTCCAGCCTTGGCAACAGAGGGAGACCTTGTTCAGAAAAGTAAAATAAAATGAAATAAGTTTCAGAGAGCTCAGTAATAGTTTTTTTGTGAAATAATAAATGTACCCAAAAGAATAATGGAAAAAAAAGCACAGTACAAGGTTGTGTGCCCAAGGTGGGAACACACTTCGAGTTGTTGTACACAGATACAGAATGTACAGCTTGCTGGCCCACAAACTGATTCTGTGGGTTCCCTGACTCTCTGACCTTTGGCTTCATCTGAGTGACAGTGGTTTGGGGTACATACAGCCAGTGACTACGAGTTGATCCCTTTACTGTGGCCTGGAACAAGTGTGACAGGCAAGGAAAGGCCACAGAGGCCTGGCTCTTACAGCAGCCAATCTTTCCAGCCACCCCCGCCCACCCCACCCCTTCCGTTCACACACTGCAGCTAACTTGGTCCCTGGCTTGGGAGATACAGAGGCGTCTTCTTGTTCTCATATGTGGGAAGGCTATGAAAAGAAAAACCCATGTTGGTCCAAACATGTAAACAAGAATTATACTAGGCTCTTTTGTTTTCATTCTGACATGGTCAGAATTAATTTGGAGGTCCAGAAAGAGGGTAGTTTTGTTTTTTAATCTGAATTACTTAATACAAGGATATATAGGGGGTGGTGGGGCAAAAACAAAAATACATTGCTTAATTCTATCAAATGGTATTGGACCATCCCCAGGTCATTCTTCAGGGTCCAGTTTTTGGCATTAGGGGGCTCCTAACTTAGACTTTACATCCAATTTGCTGATTCGATTTACTGTGAAAAGACCTAGATGGTAGAAGGCAAGCAGTGGAATGAGAAATATACAGAAAGTGCTTAAGAGAACTTAATCATTTTTTTTCTCCCTTTCCTTAGATTGAATAGGGAAAACCTGCTTTCTGCAAACAACTGAAAAAACTGCACTTAGAAACTGTTTCTTTGGCTCTCACTGGGAAGCTGGAACTTGTATTGTGAAGCCCCTGATGGGACAAGCTCTGAACTGCTGATCACCCAGTGATTGTCACCATGGCCAGCAAGAGGAAATCCACCACACCATGCATGATCCCAGTGAAGACAGTGGTGCTGCAGGATGCCAGCATGGAGGCCCAGCCCACTGAGACCTTGCCTGAAGGACCCCAGCAGGATCTACCCCCAGAAGCACCTGCTGCCAACAGTGAGGCAGCCCAGAACCCCAGCAGTACTGATGGCTCTGCACTAGCCAATGGGCATCGGAGCACTTTAGATGGCTATTTATATTCCTGTAAATACTGCAGTTTCAGATCCCATGACATGAGCCAATTTGTGGGACATATGAACTCAGAGCACACAGACTTTAATAAAGACCCAACTTTTGTATGCAGTGGGTGCAGTTTTCTGGCAAAAACCCCTGAGGGGCTTTCGTTGCATAATGCCACGTGTCACTCAGGGGAAGCCAGCTTTGTGTGGAATGTGGCCAAGCCAGACAATCATGTGGTTGTGGAGCAGAGCGTCCCTGAGAGCACCAGCACTCCTGACCTAGCAGGTGAACCCAGTGCTGAAGGGACTGATGGACAGGCAGAAATCATCATTACCAAAACTCCAATCATGAAGATAATGAAAGGCAAAGCTGAAGCCAAAAAAATTCATACTCTCAAGGAGAATGTCCCTAGCCAGCCTGTGGGTGAGGCCTTACCGAAGCTGTCGACTGGAGAAATGGAGGTGAGAGAGGGGGACCAATCTTTCATCAATGGGGCAGTTCCAGTCAGCCAGGCATCTGCCAGCTCTGCAAAAAACCCCCATGCCACCAACGGGCCCCTGATAGGAACAGTGCCAGTTTTGCCAGCTGGCATAGCACAGTTCCTCTCTCTCCAGCAGCAGCCCCCAGTGCATGCCCAACACCATGCCCAACAGTCACTACCCACGGCCAAGGCCCTTCCCAAAGTGATGATCCCCCTGAGCAGCATTCCAACGTACAACGCAGCCATGGACTCGAACAGCTTCCTGAAGAACTCCTTCCACAAGTTCCCCTACCCAACCAAAGCTGAGCTCTGCTATTTGACTGTGGTGACCAAGTATCCAGAAGAACAGCTCAAGATCTGGTTCACAGCCCAAAGGCTAAAGCAGGGGATCAGCTGGTCCCCTGAGGAGATTGAGGATGCCCGGAAAAAGATGTTCAATACAGTCATCCAGTCTGTGCCTCAGCCCACAATTACGGTTCTAAATACCCCACTGGTCGCCAGTGCTGGCAATGTCCAGCATCTCATCCAGGCTGCTCTCCCAGGTCACGTTGTAGGGCAGCCAGAGGGCACAGGAGGGGGACTTCTGGTCACTCAGCCATTGATGGCCAATGGGGTGCAAGCAACAAGTTCCTCTCTCCCCCTCACAGTGACATCTGTCCCCAAGCAGCCAGGTGTGGCACCCATTAACACTGTGTGTTCAAATACAACATCAGCTGTGAAGGTGGTCAATGCAGCCCAGTCGCTCCTCACAGCCTGCCCCAGCATAACCTCCCAAGCCTTCCTTGATGCTAGCATCTACAAAAATAAGAAATCTCACGAACAGCTGTCAGCTCTGAAAGGGAGCTTCTGTCGGAACCAGTTCCCAGGGCAGAGCGAAGTTGAGCATCTCACCAAAGTGACCGGCCTCAGTACCAGAGAGGTGCGGAAATGGTTCAGTGATCGTAGATACCACTGCCGGAACTTGAAGGGCTCCAGAGCGATGATGCCTGGGGATCACAGCTCCATCATCGTTGACTCTGTGCCAGAGGTCTCCTTCTCCCCATCGTCCAAGGTCCCTGAGGTCACCTGCATCCCAACAACAGCCACAGCAGCAACCCACCCTTCTGCCAAACGACAATCTTGGCACCAGACTCCTGACTTCACACCAACCAAATACAAGGAGAGAGCCCCTGAGCAACTCAGAGCCCTGGAGAGCAGTTTTGCACAAAACCCTCTTCCTCTTGATGAGGAACTAGACCGCCTGAGAAGTGAAACTAAAATGACCCGAAGAGAAATTGATAGCTGGTTTTCAGAGAGACGGAAAAAAGTGAATGCTGAGGAGACCAAGAAGGCTGAGGAGAATGCCTCTCAGGAGGAAGAGGAGGCTGCTGAGGATGAGGGTGGAGAAGAGGATTTGGCCAGTGAGCTAAGGGTCTCTGGTGAAAATGGCTCTCTGGAAATGCCCAGCAGCCATATCTTGGGAGAGCGCAAAGTCAGCCCCATTAAAATCAATCTGAAGAACCTGCGGGTCACTGAAGCCAATGGCAGGAATGAGATTCCAGGGCTGGGTGCCTGTGACCCAGAAGATGATGGGTCAGACAAACTGGCAGAGCAGCTCCCAGGCAAAGTGAGCTGCAAAAAGACTGCGCAGCAGCGGCACTTGCTACGGCAGCTCTTTGTCCAGACACAGTGGCCGAGCAACCAAGACTATGACTCCATAATGGCCCAGACGGGTCTGCCCCGGCCAGAGGTGGTGCGCTGGTTTGGAGACAGCAGGTACGCACTGAAGAATGGCCAACTCAAGTGGTACGAGGACTATAAGCGAGGCAACTTCCCACCAGGGCTACTGGTCATTGCCCCTGGCAACCGGGAGCTTCTGCAGGACTATTTCATGACACACAAGATGCTGTACGAAGAGGACCTGCAGAACCTCTGTGACAAGACCCAGATGAGCTCCCAGCAGGTCAAGCAGTGGTTTGCTGAGAAAATGGGGGAGGAGACCCGAGCCATGGCAGACACAGGCGTTGAGGACCAGGGCCTTGGTACTGGTGAGCTCACAGCAGTTCACAAAGGGATGGGTGACACCTATTCAGAGGTGTCTGAGAACAGTGAATCGTGGGAGCCCAGTGTCCCTGAGGCCAGCTCAGAGCCCTTTGACACATCGAGTCCCCAGGCTGGACATCAGCTCGGTAAGGAGTCCACAGGGGCCATGGCTATCCTGTGTGGGTAAGGGGAGGATGCATTCATGGTTGGGCCCTGAATTTACTGCACAGGGATATCTGCTGTCTCTAAGGCTGCCTGGCAGCAGCACTAACTGGCTGCTTCAGAGGACAACTAGCAGTAGAAGCCATAGAAACATAATATGATAAATGGTCGAGAGTTGTTTTTTGTTTCATGTTTTTTTAAAAAACCTGCTCAGGGGAAGGAACATGGTGATCCTAAAAGGTCCAAGCTTTTCTAGCCATTTCTTAGCAGTAGGAGAACAGGTCAAAACATCCTTTGAGTTAGGCAGATCCACAGCCACTGGGTAGGAGAGAGCAACCGGACATTAGATGAAATTCAACTCAAATTGATGAACAAAAAAAAAGAGAGCTTTTAATTGTCCTTAGATACATAAAGTGCTTTTTTCTGATGATGAAATTCTTGTCTTGTGTTTCTCTTGTTATTCCTGATGTAAAAGAAATGTTTATCATAATGGAAAATCACTTTCCTTCTTTGCCATACATGAAATCAAAACTTGAATTTTGTTTCTTAGTTTCTCTGGATTGTACTTGAAATCAAAATGTATTATAGAAGATTATTTTTATTTAAGACATAGTTTTGAAGCCACAGACAAGTTATGTTATTAAGTGTTGATTTTCTAGGTTCCTGGTCACTGAGTTACCAGCCTCTCCCTTCCCTCCCTACTCTTTGGCATTTGTGTTCTCATTAGAGACCCCATCATAGGGCAGCCAGAAGGTCAGTTGAAGCCAGGAGGTCGTAGTGTTGTAGAAGCTGAAGGGATTGGGGGTTCCAAAATGGCAGTGTTGCTAGCTGAGTTGGCAATGGTGGGAGGGGGTACAGGAGACAGTATCTGTGGTGTTGGGCAACGTTGGTTCCTCGTGACTTTGGCATGAGCTGCCTCAATGTGGGGCCTTGCGTTTGGCACCTCACCCCAGGACCAACCATAGTGCCCTGTCCCTCAGCAATCCCACAGAATTTCCTGGATGGTATTCCATTGTTTCCATACAATAGCCGAACATTGTTGTTTGTTTATTTTGGCCTGGCAAATCCCAGCTCCTCCACCCCGGTTGCTTTCTACTTAGGATATCTTAAAAAGGACAAAATTCTTTTTCTTTCTGTGAATATTTTAAATTCATTTAAACACAACAATTTGAAACGTAGTTATGCTATCGTTTCTTTACTCAGTTAAGGAAATAGAGAGATCCTTGTCTGCTCATAATTTGGTGAGGTGGGGTGGGGAGTACTGTGTCATCCATCTGTTTAGCATTTGCAGAAAGCCTGTTCTTATGTTCACATACTAAGGCAAAATCGAGCTCCACAAAGCCCACAGTGAGGGCAAACACCTGGTGGAGCCGAGTCACTGGTCAGCAGTCAAGGTTGGAGTACACAGGGCCGCTGGCTCCTTCTGGCCTCTTCCAACTGCAGCAGGTTTTCAATACAGCAAGAGTACAACAAAACACTCCCCTCCTTTGGGGCCCACAGCTCACAGCCTACTTTATAAAGCAGCTGATAGCACACCCTGGAGTCAGAACAGCAGGTTTTTATGGCTGGTTTGACCTTTTTTTTTTTTTTTTTTTTTTTGCAAAGTTGGTCCTTATGTTATACCCAGCTGTATGCTTCTTGTGATTACCAGTAGGCCAGGGTGTCATGTTCAGTAGAGATGAGGATGTTGGAACAAGTTTGTTACAAAAGCCGACATGGAGAAGGATGTTATGGATGATGGCAGTAGCAGCATCAGGAATCTGTTCCTCCACCAAAATAATTATTGAGCTGGCAGTAATTGTCTCAAGCAGCTGTTTCCAGGGAAGAGCTTGATGGAGAGGCTTATAAATTTTGATGAGTTTGTTTCACATAGCAGCATTCCCAAGCTCTGCAGCAGGAAACTGTGGAAAATGTTCCTGGTGTAGCCTGTTGGTGCCAGGGTGGGCAATAACAACTTTGTCCTCTGAAAGTCAAGTTTTTGTGGCCAGGCATGGTGGCTCACACCTTTAATCCCAGCACTTTGAGAGGCTGAGGTGGGTGGATCACTTGAGGTCAAGAGTTTGAGACCAGCCTGGCCAACATGGTGAAACCCTGCCTCTACTAAAAATACAAAAATTAGCCAGGCATGGTGGTGGGTGCCTGTAATACCAGCTATTCAGGAGGCTGAGGCAGGAGAATCACTTGAACCCGGGAGGTGGAGGTTGCAGTGAGCCAAGATTGCACCACTGCACTCCAGCCTGGGCAATAGAGCAAGACTCCATCTCCAAAAAAAAAGGTCAGCTTTTTATATTTTGATTGCTGATTACCGCATTTGATCACCGAGGGGCCAGTGCAGAGGCTGATCATTGTCTCAACCCCTTTGGGCAGAAGGAGCTTTCTAGCCACAACGGGTTTTAAAGAGACAGTGTCTATTTTTTTCCTTTATTCCCCCTTCGGCAAGCCAGACATTTAATGAAATCTTAGGTCACTGGTTAATCACAGAGATATCAAAACAGAAACTTCACTGACCCCCATACCACAAAGAATTGGAAAAGCTGGAAATAGTTGGCTCTAGCCCTCAATAAGCAAAAATCAGCAATCTCTGAGGTATGAGAGAATTAGATTTTTCAGTTACCACAACATAATATTCATAATGTCCGGTTCTCAACAAAAAAATTACAAAATATAAAAAGAAATAGGAAAATATGGTTCATTCACAGGGAAAAAAAATTGACAGACACCATCCTTGAGGAAGTCCAGACATTGGAATTATTAGTCAAAGACATTAAATCAGATATCTTAAGTATGTTCAATGAGCTAAAGGAAACCATGGGCAAAGAACTAAAGGAAATCAGGAAAACCATGCATGAAAAAATGAGAATATCAATAAAGGATAGAAATTATGAAAAGAAACCAAACAAATTCTAGAGCTAAAATGTACAATCCTTGAAATGGAAAACATATTAGATGGAGTCAGCAAAGATATGGGCATGCAAAAGAAGAGAACAGTGAATTTGAAGAAAATTGAAATTATTTAAACGAGGAGAAAGAAAAAAAGAAAGCCCAAGAGAGCTATGGGGCATCATCAAGCATACTAATGTATACATTATAGGAATCCCAGAAAAGGAGAGAGAAAAGCGACAGAGAGAATATTTAAATAAATAATGATAGAAAATTTCCCAAACCCAATGAAAGTCATGAGTCTATACATCCAAAAATCTCAATGAAATCCAAGCAGGATGAATGCAAAGAGATCCACACCAAGACATATTATATTAGAATTGTCAAAACCTAAAGACAAGATTTTGAAAGCAGCAAGAGAAAAGCAACTCATCACATACAAAGAATTCTGGACAACTTTAACAGCCAATTCCTCAACAAAAATCTTGGAAGCCCAAAGGCAGCAAGATGACATATCTAAAGTCACGAAAGAAGAAAAAAAAAAAACCTCTCAACAAGATTTCTATATATGGCAAAACTGTCCATCAAAAATGAAAGAGAAATCCAGACTTTTCCAAATAAAGTTGAAGGACTTCATTACTAGTAGACACACCCTACCAGAAATGCTAAAGGGAGTCCTTCAGGCTGAAATGAAAGGACACTGAACAGAAACTTGAAGCCATAAGAAAATATAAAGAGCGCTAGTTAAGATAATTTTAGAGGTAAATATAAAGAGCGCTATTTAAGATAATTTTAGAGGTAAATATAAGAGCCAATACTATTGGTTTATAACTTTTTCTCTTTGTGCCTTATAATTTAAAAGACAAATTCATTAAAAAATTATAAATCTGCATTAATGGACATACAATGTAGTAAGATGTAATCTGTGTAAATAGTAAAACTAACAAATTCGTGCATCACAAACAAAACAATCCAAACAGTACATTGCAAACAATCAAATACAAAAGAAGGCAGTAATGGAATTGAGGAATCAAAAACATTTAAGACATGAGAAACAAATGGCTCAATGGCAGAAGTAAATCCTTTATCAGTAATCACATTAAATGTAAAGGGGCTAAGCTCTTCTATTAGAAACAAAGGTTGGCAGATTGGAATAAAAAAATTAAGTGTTTATATGCTTTCTTAAGAGACTCACTTTAGATATAAGGATACAAGGAGGTTGAAAGTAAGGATAGAAAAAGATACATCTGGAAAGTAGTAACTATATGACGGCTGAGGTGGCTATATTATCAGGCAAAAACCACTATTTTTTCTGAAGAATATTTGTAACATATTTTAAATAATATATACAATTATATATTATACATAAGAATATGTAATATATATATGTTATGTGTATAATTTAGAATTAGCGAGCCAGACTCAGCTGAGATAATCCCAGTTTTGTTGGCAATATTGAAAGCATTTTAATCAGGAGCCAGTTGAACATACGCCTTCTTCTCTCCCTCAGGCCTGTTGACTTTGACCACATCAGTGTCACAGAGCCACTTCACAGCCTGTTTGATCTGGTGCTTGTTGGCTTTAACATCCACAGTGAATACAGGTGCATTGTTGTCTTCCGTCTTCTTCACAGCAGACTCAGTGGTCAGTGGGGACTCGATGCTGGCATGGTGGCCAAGCTTATTTCTCCTGGGAGTGCTCTTCTGAGGATATTGGGGCTGCCTTCGGAGTCATAGTGTCTTTGGCCACAGGAAGGTGGGTGATATGCGGATTTTCTTCTTCTTCTTCTTCTTTTTTGGTGGCTGTGTGGACGCCTTTCAGCACTGCCTCCTTGTTCTTTAAAGCCTTCACTTTGTGATCGGCTTTAGGAGAGTCAAGAGCTTCCATTTTCACCTCCAGTGCCGTCTTTTGAAAAAAGCACAGAAAATAAATTTTAAATCAAGAAAAGTTACAAGAGATAAAGAAGTATATTATATTGGTAAAAGTTTCATATACATACCTAACAGAGCTCCAAAACATTTGAAAGAGAAATGACAGAATTAAAGGGAGAATTACACAAAAATAGTTGGAGACTCCCACAAAAATAGTTGGAGACTTTAATAAT